GTCCTTCACTTGCTTTGGTTTCTCTCACTTCTGCAGCTGTTCTATCACGTTAGCGTCTCTGTGTTTTGTGAGATTTTTTTTTCTAACCAAGAAAACGTTAATAGGGTTTGTAAAATGTATACAGTTTGTTGCATAACTGTAGCTACGTGACCCGATTTGCTGCACTGAACTCTGATGCCTTTTCCTTGGACCACTTGAACCGCTTGCAGTTCAGTTTCAGCTTATGTAAACAAGTCATAGTAGCTTTTTAATCATGCAACCACCAGTGTGTTTGTGTGAAAGAAAGAAGAAAAAAAATCAGTAGATGGAGCAAAGCCTGCATGAACACACTGCTTCTGGTTATGCGTGCTTAAACGTTCCCTAATTTGCTTGCATTTAAGGTCAGCGCTGGGACTGATGATCGCAGCACTTTGCTGAGACACACTCTTCTCAGAGTCATCTGTTTATTTATTCATAAAGTTATTATATATTTTAAACTGAGACAACGTATGCATACAGTAGCATTTAAACGGCACTCCATTAAGCGCTTATGTGGCAGCTCTGAGTTAATGTGTTGGTGAACTTCTGGTGTGTTTTGCCCAGAGACAGTGCTCCTGACTGGACAGTTTTTTTGTGAACACTAGAGTCCATCTGGGGCAAACATCTATATAACATTAAGTCACTTAAATCACCTTTTCTCTCAATTCTGACGCTCAGTTTGAATTTCAGCAGGTTATCTCGACCATGTCTATATGTCTGAATGCGTTTGGTTGCTGATGTGCGATTGGCTGATACACAAGCAGCTGAACAGGTGTACTTAATAAAGTGGCCGGTGACTGTACAGTCTATTCATAGCCAACGCATTAAGCTCCACAAGCAACACCAAGTGGCATGATACAAGCTGTCCTGTCCTACTGGTGAAGGATTTTGGAGCTGTCTGCAAGAATACCTGCAGAGTTTTCTTGCATCAACTACATTTTTTGATAATTTGATTGATCAAAATTAACATAAATATGTAAGGCACAAATTTTAAAAGATGCCAGTTCAGCAGCTAATTCTGAGTAACTGCCATCTAAAACAGAGTGCTAAAAAATAAGTAGCATTAGTATTAAAAATACATTTTTTAGTACTAATACTATTACTATAGATCACAACTTTATAACAAATGGTTCATTTAAACCCTAATTTAAGAAGAGGTTAGTTGCTGTGGGGAGCACAACCACAAAAATGAACTGAAAGAAGCTGGAAGCTCTGTGGTCAGAGTTAGGTGATAATTCTCTGCCGAATCTTTCTTGAAAACATTAATAAATTACAGCTCATATATGTATTAATCGCATTTACAACTGAAATTAGCATGTAATTACACGAGTAGACCCTTAGACCGACCCATGAAAAGATCAAATCACTGTTTCTGAGATAAAATGGACAAAATGACCACGTGAGAGCAACAGTTTCCCATCTGTTCCGCTTCACGGGCTTGACAACACCCAGCCACGACAAACTGTCACTTGCCTCACTGGCTAGATGTTTCCATGGCAACTCATGGCGTGCGGGATGCTGCGAGTGGGTGAGCAGAGACGTCACAAATGCACTCCCCACAGCTGGAGTGGGTAATGACTCGAAGAATGCTCATACCCCCAAAGAATCAGGATGGGAGGGAGAAAGAGGAAGAAAAAGGCAGAAGGAAAAGAGGAAGCACAGAGACGACTCGAGGACCAGTGTGACAGGAACTGGCTGTGGGTGGAAAACCCAGCATTGCAATTCTCCATGCAATTACATTTTAATAATGCATATGGAGGGCATCATGAGGAGCGATCACAGGCACCCTCCTGATACATAATGCTGACTGCTGGGAGCCCACGCAGGACAGAAATAACCTCTTCAGTTCCTGGTCTGACTGACTACACGAAAGGAGAGAGAGCAGAGAATCCACAGATGAATTATTATAGAAAAAAAAACAACTAACCAACCAGAGTATTTTGACCCTCTTTTTCATCTCAAATGTTAGATTTTCTATGAAAAGATGTCTATCGTGTAATTCTGAGCTGTAAGAAAACTGTTCTCTATCAAGACTTAATCTGCGATGAAGATAAACAGATCACAAGCACTCACTTATGATTCCTGCCTGCTGTGATATTTTACCAATACAGGCAAATAAACTATGTCCAAGCTCCAGCTTATAAAAATCCTTAAAGTGCAGGAGACTTACCACTGAGGAAATCAAAATAAATATTTCAATCTTAACCTCGTTCTGCACAAAATGAGGGCAGATGCTGAATGTCAAATGACCTAGAAAAATAACCTTTTACTGACACGAGGGCCTTCAATTTTCCACCTACAGTAAACCCTGTTTTGAAACTCTCCCAAAGAGATTCAAATATGTACAGAGTAGACTGATTACATGTTCTGAAGAGTTGAACAATTAAGTGATCTGTAGCTCTTGGACAGAGCCTGAAGGCAAATCAATTTCCTCAAAGCTCCCTGAAAAGAAATCTGTTTTTACTCAGTCATAATCACTACAGCATTTACATATAACCCATATCATTTCATTTCCAACCAAGAAATTATTTTGGAGAGCGCAATTATGTGTTCCTACTTTTTTTTCATTCTGAGTCCTGAACTGTGTACGCACAC